ATAATTCTTTTGAATTCCTTCTCAGGGAGTTCCAATGCTGCATATTCCTCAGGGATGTGTTTTTGGTCTGTATCATGGTCCCTTGTTTTTCCTGCTTTATCTTGCTACTTTGTGTGGACTGTGATGTTCTGTTGTGTCTGAGGCATTGTGACATTTCTGTGTTTTATTATTTAATTGGTGATTGTATGTTGGAGTTTTCATTTTGTTTTGTTTGTATGTTAGCTACGTAAGCAGGGTACTGTACTGTGCTCCTCTATTCACTATTTGACACTTATATACTCACCACCTGTCTCCTTTCCTGTTGTCAGCCTCTCAAATATCCCTGCCCAGTCCTTGGCGAATAGAGCCTCTTCTTAGGTCCCTGGAATCTGAATGATAATGCTGTCACTTTAAAATCCAAAATGGCCACTGCTTGTAAACATTCAAAATGGCTGCGTCCTCAGTCACTTTAAATATCCAAAATGGCTGCACCCTCCAGACAGCGGAAAGTCAATAGCTCAGGTTGTCTCCCTCCTTGCTGATTCCCTTCCTAGTCATAGGTCACCAGTGCAGTCTTCCCTGCAGCCCTTGGTGACCAGGGCTGATCTTTAGGTCAATTCTCAGGTCCCAACACCGCTTGGAAATATTCAGGGTGTTGGTCCCATCAGAGTGGCTGACAGTCTGCAGCTCTGACCGTCTCTGTACTCACTGTTTTTGTTCAGGTTTTTCCACTAGTTGGTACCTAATCCACTTCTATATAGTTCCTTTCAAAGCTCAGGGCCCCAGGATTATCTTCTGTATCTCTTATCAATTGGTTTTTCTTTTCTTTGTTGAAGAGGGTCTGTGTCATTTGTCTGCCTATTCCTCCATCTTCTCTTTCATTTTTTACAAGAACTAAATTAGATGCATAAAATGTTAAAAACAATCAACACAGAAACAGTTATTAGCAAGTATAAATTATAGATTCACAGTCTCACAATGTGGCCAAATACTTTATTTGGGTTACGTATATTTCCACAAATGTACCTTATTGATTAAAAAAAGGAAGTTTATATTAAACCTAGATGAGTCTGAACTTGTCTTATGGATTTCCTCTATGGATCTCCCTGACCGTAGATATATGCTGATGATTCCTAAATCTCTATGTTCAGCCTGGAACTTGCTTTTGGGCTCCAGATCCATGTATCTAATTGCCTACTTGGTTATTCTGCTGCACTTTTTGCATGCCTCCGAAATGAACCCAATTCTTCCTCCTATGTTCCCTGTCTTAATCAGTGGGACTTCTATTCACGAAGCTCTTCAAGTTAGAGAATGTGTGTGACTTCCTTCCTCACCTACTATACCTCTGCACTCCATTACCAAGTCTACTATCTTAACATCTCTAGAAATCATCTTATCTTTTCATCCCTAAATTTCTACCTTAATTCTAGCTACCACCTTTCTCAGCTATAACTTAATCATTTGCCTATTCTAGTCTTGCTCCCCTTCAGACTAAATGCCATCTTCCTAATGCAGAGATCCCTTGGCACCTGATCAAAGGGACTAAGGCCTATCTCAGTATTTGCAACCACTCCCCTCCCTAATCCCAGTATTATGTCTCTTAATATGTCACTCTCCCTGTTCAGGAAGTTCTGTCCCCATCTTCTAATTGTCCACTGGGTTATGCTTTAGAAATCACTTTTCTGGGGGATGCTTTCCCTTCTCCTGCAAGACAGGATTTGACGACCCTCTCATAGCATTCTAGTTTTATTCCAATAGAGGTACTTCAAGTACATCATACCTACCTACTCATACTCTTGTCTCTAGTCAAGGGAGTGGACAGACTATGTCTTATTCTCTATTGTTTTCTCAGAACTTAGCAAAGTACTTAGCATTATCATGTATTCAACAAATATTCACTGAGCCTCCACTGTGTATCAGGGACTCTAATGCAACTGACAAAGATCTCTTCTCTCATGGCATTCGTACTTATTCCAGTAAGAGAAATACACAAGCATAATAAAAAAGTAAATTATATATGTTAGATGAGCTCTGTGGAAAAAAAAAAAAAAGAATAGAGCAGGTTAGTAAGGACTAAGAATGCTGTAGTAAGGGTGCATACCAGAAGTTGTGGTATAGATAGGGTAGGAGGGTAGTCAGGATAGACTTCATCAAGAAGATGAAATCTGAGCTAAGAGTGTAAACAGGTAAAGGATACAGTCAAAGAATACTTGAGGGCAGAGTGTTCTAGGCATAGGAAACAGCCATAGTAAAGGTCAAAACGCACACACATCCCTAGTGTGTAGGGGATGGCATGGCAGAATGCAGTGGAGGAGGGGAAGTGTAGAAAATGAGGTTAGAGAGGTAACAGAGTGAGTCATATCATGCAGGAGCTTGCCTGTAGGTCATTATAAGAACTACGAGTGACCTGAGATCCAGAGGAGGCAAGTTCCTATATATTTCAAAAGGATACAGGCCAGGGTCTTAGCAGTAGAGTAAAAAAAGTGGGCAGGCAGGGTTTGGATATAATTGGGAGGCAGAATTAATAGTTTATGTTGGTGGATTGGACACTGGGTGTGAGAAAGAAGTGTCAAAGATGATTCTAAGGTTTTTTGCCTGAGCAAATACAAGGATGGGAATTGCCACCAACTGAAATCAGCAGAACAGCAGGTCTGAGGGTGAGATTGAGGGAAGGGAGAAAGAATCAGCAGTTCAGTCTGGACATGGTAGGTTTGAATTATTTATTAGACGTCCATGTGGTGGTATCAATTAAGCAGCTGGAGAGATAAGTTTGGAGATCGTGAGCAGTCTGGGCTAGAGATATAAATTTGGGAATTCCCAGCATATAGGCCGTACTGAGAACCAAGGAACCGGATAGGATGACCTAGGGAGTGACTGTAGACAGGAAAAGTAAAAGGAATCAAGAACTGAGTACTAAGGCCCTCCAATATTATTAAGATGTTGGTGGGGAGAGAGAGAATTTTATTATTATTGTGATTTTGGTGAAAGTTTATGGAGCAAACTCGTTTTCCATACAATAGTTCATACACATTTCGTTTCATCACATTGACTGTAGTCCCCATAATGTAATAGCTCTCTTTCCACTTCCTGTGGCTACTTTTTGCCTATGTCCTTATTTCCTATGCATTCCTGCCGTCTGTGCTATCACCCTATGTAAATACTGCCCTTCTGGTCTCTCATGGTTATGAAGGTTGAGGCTCACATGGTCCACTAGTCCCTTGGACTAATTGTTTCCATGCATCTTTGGTTTTCTTCATTCTTCTTTGCTCTGGACAAGATGACCAACTGTTACATCTAGATTGCCAAAAGCAAACTTTTAATACCCCAGTCACTACTCACCAAAGTAGGATGCAGAACAATGTTTTTGTGTAGTGTGTTATGTCAATTGAGCTTGATGTTCCCTGTGACCATGGTCCTAAGCCCACAGGCCAAACAACTCATTTCCCCTCAAGGCGGTTGGCTGTGGCTCAGAAGTTATTGTAATTTTGCCCCATTAGCTCTATTATATATATGGTCATTTTTATAGCACAAATACTTATGTAGAAATACTATCTGGCAAATTTACATATGGTGTGGGTATATTCCCTTTTGCCTAGACATATCTTATCATTCAGCCTGTCCACCTATGTATCCACCCATTGATTGATGTTTGTTATTATTGAAAATGCAGTACTGTGTATGTAAAAGTGTGTATCTTTGTTGTCTGTACCTCTTGTGCACCTCTGTGTCTTTCTTTTCCTTAGTGTTATTGTGCTGGTCACTCATTTTTGGTATATTGCCTTTTCGTTCACCTGAATCAGTACTTGTCTCTTATCTAGCTAGCAATTTTCTCTTGACTGGTCACTAACAGAAAGTTTCCTTCCAAATGTAAACCTTTTCTTGACTTGTTACAATACTGGACTAATACAGTATTTGTCCTTCTGTGATTGACTTATTTCACTCAGCATAATGTCCTCCAAGTTCATCCACATTAGGAGGGATTTTGCAGATTTTACATTATTCTTTACTGTTGTATAGTATTCCACTGTGTGTATGCACTGTAGTTTGGTTATCCATTGTTCTGTTGATGGGCACTTAGGTTGTTTCCATCTCTTTGCTATTGTTAACAGTGTTGTGATGAGCATGGGTGTGCACATATCCATTGTGGAGAGGGAGAAACTTGCAAAAATAAATCGAGGAGTACCTAGTAACATAGGCAGGAAACCAAAAAAGTATAGGGTCCTGAAAGCCAAACAAAGAAAATATATCAAAGGAGTAATTAGTTATGCCAAATGCTGATAGGTCAAGGAAGATGAGAAATAAAAATTAGTACTAAGAATTAACTCAGCATTGTGAATTGAAGGTCATTGGTGATGATGATGAGAACAGTTTTACAGAATGGTGAGGGCAAAAATCCTGATTAGAGGGATTTTAAGAGAAAGGAGAAGAATTGGGGATAGCAAGTAGAGCCAACTTGCTGCAAAGAGCAAGGGAAATATGGCAGTAGTTGGCAGGGGTAGTAGAATTAAAGGATCTCTTAAGATGAAAGAAATGGTATTTATATTCTGATGGGAGTAATCTAGGAAGAGAGCAAAAATCTGTTCTTGCAGGATACAAGAAGAGAGAATTGCTAAACTGATATTCTCAAGTAGGCCAAAGGGAAAAGATCTAGTACATAAGTGGAAGGATAAGGCTTTCGATAAGAATGTGATACTTAAGTCGGGCCTTGATAAATATTTATGGAAAGTACAAACTTCTTGACTAAGATCAACAGAGGTAGTAAAGAGTAAATACTAACTTTGGTTTAATAGATGATACCAGAATTCTTAAGTCCAACTGTTCATCTTTTAGAAGGACTTTTCCTGTTTCTCTTGCCTCCCTTTTCTTTGCCACAAAGTCAGTCTGATTCAATATTAATGTCAGCTTTCTTCTTTGACCAATAAAAAATATCCAAGTTTATCTTACTTCAAATGTTGCTCATTCAAAGATAAAAGCTTTTATTAAGGTCTTTATTAAGGAAAAAGAATATGGAACCTACTCACCATTTTCATCTACCGCAAGCACACTTGCTCCTTTCCCCAGAAGTTCCTGAACCACCATTGTTAGCCCATTTCGGGCAGCAACATGCAGAGGTCTGGGGGAAAAAAAATTGTATGTATATATGACTGTGTATGCACACATGTACACACACATACACCTGGATGGCAACGAGCATTTCTGCCAAGTTGTGGAGACCCAGAGATACAAACCTGAGGCACTTATAGTCTTAACAGCAATGAGGATGAGGGGAGGGGAGAAGAAGGGAGCAGAACTTATGTGCAGGACACTGCAGCCCTACCTCAATGTGTGTAAGCTTAGTCTCTGACCTCACTGGCAAATTCTCTCTATCATCAAACTCTCCTGTTATTTTCCCTCCTAAGACTCAGTGTTTAAAAATATTTTACCAACTAACAAAATTTCATTCTTAAGAAACAAGGTTGATATGCTCTATAAACTTTCACCCAAATCATAATAAAAATTAAAAAACAAACAAACAAAAAGAAACAAGGTTGATAAACATTTAAAAAATATACAAAAACTGTGAACTGCAGTAACACAAATTCTAATAGACTTTGAAAAACAGCTTACAGGTCCCATGACTTAATTTTTTTTTGCAATTGTGATTTGGGTGCAAATTTACAATGCAGATTTGTTTTACTCTCAACCGTTCATGCACATTGGATTTCATGGTTCCGATTACCATCCACAACCATAAAAAACTCTCCTCCCTGTGACCACCCCCACCCCATGTCTTTCTTATCTGTGCATTTCTGTCTGTCCAGCTTTCCCTCTGTGTGAATGCTGCCCCCCTGATGTCTCATGGCTGATTGTTCTAAGGGGTGCATCTCCCTAGGGTAGGGGGTACATCTCCCTGGAGTAGGTGTTCCACTTATAGGTCTTTCTACTGTTGGGCTGAGAGTCAATCCAGGGAAGTGAGTCCATTTCCAGGCCTGAAGGATAACCTGGGGTCATAGTCTTGGGGGTTCCCATGACTTAAGTTTTGGACCTTTGAGGGATCTGATGTACTGGCTGGAAACCAATGTTCAAAATTATTCTCTTTACCAAGTTTCAAAGTGGAATGGCAAATGAAAATTAGAAAGGATGATGGGAGACAACGATTTAAAGGATCTATGTCAGTCAATCTGGAGGCTGGCTGCTTCCATTATTAAGAACTTGATTCTTTCTTTAGCTTACAGAAATATGAAGCTTCTTACTTCATTCACTGTTAATTATGGTGCTTTACTGAAGGTTGGAAGGAAGACTGGGAAATCTACTTCCATACAGATATTGCCTTGGAAACCCAAGGAGGGGTCACTATGAGTCAGATCGACTTGATGGCACCGAGTTTGTTTTTTTGGTATTGTACTTTGCAGATACTGTTTTTTTTTTTTTTTTTTTTAACAAAAACGGAAGGTTTGTGGCAACCCTTGGTCAAACAAATCTATCAAGGCTATTTTTCTAACAGCATGTGCTTACTTCCTGTCTTTGTGTCACATTTTGGTAATTCTCACAACATTTCAAAGTTTTTCATAATGTTATTACACACTTAATAGACTACAGTAAAGTGTAAACATAATTTTTATAGGCACTGGGAAACCAAAAAGTTTGTGTGACTTACTTTATTGCAATATTCACGTTCTTGCAGTGGTCTGGAACCAAACCTGCGATATTTCCATGGTTTGCCTGTATTTTAATTGGTTTCCACAAAATACACAGAACAGTACTATTTTCCTTCAGAGAATTACGTGAGTAAATTAACTGAGAAAAAACTCATGATTTTCAAAGTTCTAAAAAAAGTTTCTGTTTAAATGTTTTTTAGCAATATACTTTTTAATTGTGACAATTTTAGAAATGAGTTTGATCAGTTGTAAAACTGTGCTCTGTAACTGCTTCTATGACTAATGAGGTGATTTCCAACAGTCGCATGTTAAAAAATAAATCACTTATTTTTATAATTACAGGTTATACAGTTTACATTAAGACACTGAAAGTACTCACGTTTGCAAGGCTGCATTGGTTGCATTGATGAGGTTTCTATCTGTTATCTTCTCCAGTATTAACAAGGCACTAGTTTCATGACCCTAAAATTATGGTAACTCACTCTTAAAAACTTGGATACCATTCAAGATAATTTTTATACACCCAGTACACCCCAACTGTATTCCAAACAATACGTACACCACCTTACATACACAGGCTATGAATTATCTTGATTAATTTAATGCTTCTTGTATTTGCCCGAATATGTGTTGGTGAGGTTGGGAGTATGGGAAGAGGACAAGAAAAATTAAGATTAAACAAAGACATTAAAAAGCTTTGTATTGAGTCATGTGCTTTGAACCTGATTTAGCTTACTAGAGAATTTCACACACCATGGTGCCTACGTCAGTATTTTTGCTCAAGAAATTGGATGCCAGAGATCATGAGACATTTGTTCCTTAGCTCTGTTCATTTTAGTTAAGTGGAAAAACATTGTATTAATCATAAAAAATATGCCCTTGTAACATGTACATACCTTGCTGCAAGCTAAATGGAGCGCAGTGTTTTTACTGTTATCTTGTAAAGTCAGATCTGCACTAGCACTGCTAACCAGCATCTCTGTTACGAAAAAACAAAGCAAAAATATTCTTCTAACAAAAACTTAAGTGTAAGAAAAATATAGTAATATATAAAGTACTTATTATTTGTCATGTAATTGTATAGAACAGTTACACTGTTGTGTAAGTCACAGACCACTAACGATAGCAACTGTTTATTTCCTGAGTGCTTACTAAATGTCAATACTGTTTTAAGTGCTCTGGGTTTATACTAACTTATTTAACCCTCACAGCAACCCTACAAAGTAGTTACTATTATTCTTTTCACTTTACAAATGAAGAAACTAAGGCACAAGGTTAGTTAGCTGGCAGATCTAGGACTCAACATTCAGGCAGTCCAACTCAACAGCCAGTATTCATAGCCACTACGCTACACAGCCTCGCTAAAGCAGATTATTCAATCAATAAGGACAAAGGAAAACACTGGGACTCTAAATGAAATGTAGGTTGTGGGCAAGTAAACAGTTTTAAATGCCAAGAGTGGTAAAATATCTACTGTAAAATGCAGTGAATTACAAGTCAAAAGCTAAGGATCCAAGTTACACATAAATGACATACATGCTCAGAAGAATAAAATCTTTAAACAGTTTCTTTACCAACTGTATTTGTTTGTCCATTTTCTGCAGCCATCATAAGAGGTGTTTTTCCAGAGGAGTCCACAGAATTGACTTGAGCATTATGGCTGAGCAGCAGCTGTAAACATTCTACATGGTCTGTGAAGGCGGCCGCATGGAGAGGAGTTCTGCAAGAGAGAGAAGGTGTTTAGTTTACGTGTTGTTGTTATTTGCCGTCGAGTCGGCCTCGACTCATAGCGACCCCTCCTTGGGTTTTCCTTGGGTTTCCGAGGCAGTATCACTACGGAAGTAGGATTGCCCAACCTTCTTTCCAAGGAGTGACTGGTGGGTTTGAACTGCCAGCCTTCTGGTTAGCAGTCAAGTGCCTTAGGCACTAATTAACCTATAAAAGCACTGCCTGGATACAAACAGGCTTAATGGAGCTTACTCACTTCTGCCAAAGAAATGAGAACTTCTGACAATATAAAAGGCTTTAAATAACTAGAACTAGTATAAAATAAGGACAAATCATAACATTGCTAAAACAACACTGTATCATTAAAGGAAATTTTAAAGAAACAAATCTTGATCCAAATACTGCTACTTACAACTGCTAGATTCTCTTCTAGCCTTTATTCCTATTTAGAAAATTTTTAACTTTATTAATAAGTCCTTGCATAACAAAGATACTTCTAAAAAAAAAAAAAAAGGAAATTTTACATTTTAAGTAGAGGAGAACTGAATAAAAAACATAAGGAAAAGCTGTTTGATAACAGAAAAATAGTTAAGATTTTATAATCAATTGTATCTGCAAATATAAAAATCAACTTTTTAATGTAAATTCTCATAGGTTGGTAAAAAAAAAAAAAAAATTTTCCCTATTAAAGACAAAACTTTTTTGTACATAGTGGAACTCCTACCTTCCTTTTGAATCTGTGGTGTTCACGATGCTGGCACCTAATGTATCAATTAACATCTCTGCAGCACCTTCGTTGTCATTTATCCTGTGCAAAGCAACAAGGTTATCACTCTCGTAGCAGTGGAATATTTCTTAAACACCCAAATCAAATCTGAAAATTCTGGCTTTACTTACACAGCACAATGTAATGGACTGAAAGCATTTCCTTCCATTTTCTGGAAAACTTCCTGCTCTAAAAGAAGTTCTACACAAGTCTCATGACCTAAATAGGTAAAACAAAATCAGATTATTAAAATAAGTTAAAAACAAACAAACAAACAAAAGATACTGAAGTGCCCATATGCACATAAATAAATGCTTTACATGGCTTAAAAACAACCAGTTCACATATTTAGGAGCTTTCTACTTTAAAACCTGAAGTACAGTAGCTCTTTCTGGTAATTTTAAAACAGTTTATTAGTGACATGACAAATATATATTTTATGACAATGATTCAGCCTCATTACTCTTTATCCTGGTGACCAGGATTATTTGGTTGTAATTTTTAAAAAAGTTTTAGAAGCCTATATACAAAATTAATTTAAAATATAATCTTGAAAATATATTTATATGTAGCATAGTATACCTTTTAAAACAGTATTTTTTCACACAGCATAATGTGATTTTAAAAACTTGTATTTCTCTAATTACAGTAACAAGTTAATGGTAAAATCTCAAATGCCATGTTGCTGTTATGTGCCATCAAGTCAGACCCGACTCACAGTGACCCCTCCTTGGGTTTCCAAGGCAGTATCATTACAGAAGTAGATTACCCAACCTTCCTTCCGAGGAGTGGCTGGTGGGTTTGAACCGCCAGCCTTCTGGTTAGCAGTCAAGTGCCTTAGGCACTACGCTACCAGAGCTCCTCTCAAATGCTATAGAAGGCTTTTAAGTGAAAAAGTACAAGTTCCTCTCAGCTCCAACCTCTAGACAAATAACCACTGTTACTGTAACAGTTTTAGAAACTCTTTAGGCATTCAGAACTGCATGCACATAAATCCTTCAGTTTTTGATTTTTACAAAAATGGGGCTTTTTTTTCGTTCTGCAATTTATTCTTCACTTAAAACCTTGCTTTAATTCCATCTCTCTGAATATTAACTCATTACAAAGAAATAACACTGCAAAGTTGTCAGTATTAAGACCCTTCTATTTTCCTGATAAAGTAGTAGGCCTGGTCTAAACACTGGTGTGATAACACAATTATATATATATCCTTCCATAAGAGATATACACCTCATTCTTGAATGTTCCAAAGAACTCCGTATCATCATAGTGTATCATAATGATTTAATTTCTTCACGGATTTCCAGGTGATTGCTAGTTTGTTTTTTTTTTCTCTTTGCGATACTATCAACAGTGCTGTAATAAAACATTCTAGTACATATCCTGGTGTATGTTCACAACCATATTTGTGGGAACAGTTGTAAACAAGTTGATTCTGATTCATGGCTGCCCCGTATGTGTTAGAGCAGCACTGTGCCCCATTGGGTTTTCAATGGCAGATTTTCTGGAAGCAGATCACCAGGCCTTTCGTCTGGGGCACCTTTGGGGGACTCAAATCTCCTCCACCTTTCAGTGAGCAGCCAAGCATATTTGTGAGACAATTTGTGGGACTCTCCTAGAAATGGTACTGTTGAGTCAAAGGACAAATATATTGGCTACTGATAGATAAAAGGGCCACAATTTTAATAGCCACTGTGAAGACAGGGAACTTTAAAAACCTCAGAATTTTTTAACCTGTTTTAGGAAACCTATAATTATGTCTTATTTTTGTTAGTTGTTTTCTCTAACCCAGTGGGTCTCAACTGGAGGTGATTTTGCCTATCAGGGGATACCTGGTAATGTCTGGAGATATGATGGCTTATTACTACTGATTTGCTATTGGTTGAGTCCAGGGATACTGCTAATCATCTTGCAATACACAGGATAGTCCCTCAAAACAAAAAATTATCTGGCTCATAATATCAGTACTGCTAAGGTTGAAAAACTCTGCTTTAATGCCATCTCGCTGAAATGTTAACTCATTCAAAAGAATAACATTACAAAGCTGTCCATACTGATTAAACAGCCTTCTGTTTTCCTAATTCTCACGGTGTGATCTGAACACCAGGGTGATATCACAGAAGAATGAATGCAGAGGTAGACAGGAAAATCCAGCTGCCTTCTCCTAAGTCTTTCATTAAAAAAATGTGTCATTCTTCTCATTTAATAAAAACAAGGTAGGGACAAACGTTACTCTTCATAAAAAATGTTATTTATTTAACATGTAATGGGTTCAATATTGCTATTTTCATATACACTGATAAATATATATATTTTTTAAAAAAGCCCTCAGTTCTAATTTCTAATATGGTTAATATCAATAGGTGTATGCTGATAATAAACAAAAGCTCTTTCGAGTTCACATTACATTAAGAGTGTAAAGGGGTCCTGAGACCTAAAGACTTGAGAAGCACTACCTTAGCAGAGTGCAGACTGAGAAAAGGAGTCTTGGGACTCTTGGCTGCCTCCAGCAGTCACTAGTAGGTGATATCAAGGTGACAATCTCAACGGTCTGTCTCCTAGGTTATGAAAGACAGAATGATAAAGCTGGTCTCTTCATGTTTCAGAGGGATAGTCTCAGGACACTTAACACTTCAGAAAAATGGATAAATTTAAAAAAGGAAACATGAGAGATAAGTACTGACTACATAAACTGAAATTTTGAACTTTAAAGTGTAATATGTATAACCAGTTGTTTTTTAAAACCTGGTCATAATTCCATTTTAATTTTGACAGAATGATTTTCTGTTCTGTTGGACTGCTTCCCATTTTCTTTTCAGTTGTACAGTAATTACTAGTCAAAGTAAAACCATTTTACATATTCTATGCTCAGAATGCCAAATTATAAAACAGGCTTTGAGCTATAAATATGGTATTAATTTTAGACTGCCTCTATGTTCTCTTACTGCATATAGTCAACACATGTTTAATCCTGTCCAGCTCAATTCAGAATCACCATAATTTTGCTACACTCTGGAAATCAGACATATCTGTTGATCTTTAAATGGCAACTAGGCATGTGGTTCATGCAAAATTTTGTCTCTTGTACAAAATGTGCTTAGAGAGTCTAAATTCAGCAATGATAGAGCAGGAACTCACTACAGGGAAACACAGTGCTCTCCATGCAGAGCTGACAAGAAACGTCGTAATAGAGCAACTCTCCAAGGACAGGTGTAACAGTGTATTTACAACAAAATGCTCTACCATGTTTGAAGATAAATGCCATTACTGTATGATTTTTTGAATGGTTAATTCTAACTGATACACTAAAAACAACAAAACAAACTAACAAAAAAACCCAACCAAGTCTTTGCGTCTAGTCTTTGCATCTAAACAGTTTTATCTCACTGATATCTTAAACAAAGTTCACATTTGTGGATGCTTTCCTACTATATTTAGATGGTTCAGTTAATTTTTTTCCCCCTTATAAAATGTCAAGTACAGTATAAAAAATAAAATTCCAATGGTAAAATAACAGTATCTTCTCTGACTTAGGATCACTCTTGAGCCATATCACTATACTCACTAAATACCAACTCTAGTGAGTTGAAAAAGAGAAGTCAGAACCCAAAGGTTTTATTGTTTTCAAAACTGTTCTGGTTAAGGATCCGAGGTAATAAAAAGGAAATTAACTAAGCTAAGCTTTTAAATTAGCAGTAAGTTTAACTACCCAAGCTTTTTATGGTACCACCAGTGTGCTCAGGGTGGATAATCAATAGTAAATGACAAAAAAATCCTTAAGCGGCCAAACAAAAGAATGGAACTCCAATTCTGGCTCAAGGATTAATATAAAAAATCAAAATACTGTATCTAGAAAATACATATGGAAATATTTAATTAAAGTTTAACTTGCAAAGATCACATTTCTCCTCCACTAAAATCCACTATTATCTGTCAGAATGGCTCCCAGTTAAAGAGCCATTAAGCAGCATATTACAGAAAGACAGCAAACCTCAACTCTCTGACAAGTCATTCAGTTGAATTTTAGGACAGATACTATGTTACTTTATGAAGTGCATAATTCTATAAAGCAGCAATTTATATTTTCTGTACATTTTGAAGGAAAGTTGTTAGAACTGTGAACTATAGCTTTGTAGATGTGCTATCACTTAAAATCATCTCAATGCAACACTGAAGTTCAACATCAATTTTAAAAATACTCATTTACTTGCTGGGAGCTCTGGTGGCGTAGTGCCTAAGGCATCTGACTGCTAACCAGAAGGCTGGCGGTTCAAACCCACCAGCCACTCCTCAGAACGAAGGTTGGACAATCTACTTCTGCAGTGATACTGCCTTGGAAACCCAAGGAAGGGTTGCTATGAGTTGGATCTGACTTCACGGCACTGAGTTTTCATTTACTTGCTAAAGCCCTAGGCCCAAACTTTCATAGGATCAATACTTACAGTACATATAATGTACCTGGAGAATGTTTTCTAAGATGACAAAATCTATGGCTCTACACAAGGAAAACATCTCAATATACTTCATTACTTAAATTATTTCAATTAACAATCACCTCCTAAGCCCAACTCCATTTTTAGTATCTATACCTTAAAAATAATTTTATGTATTCTGAATGATCTTTTGAGAATCTAACTGTAAAAAGACTAAATTTGACTATGAACCTCTAGGATGCTAAAAATAAGTCTACTCTAATCATGTAATAAAGCTAACCCTTGGAAGTGTCTACTTCTATGATCTGCTTTCATTCCTTCAAAACACTGAGGTTGAATACCATTGTTGATATATGGATTCTATCTTGTGATATGCTCCAAACACATACACAGATTTCAGTTTAGATCGTGATGCATTTCATCATTTCTCCTTTGTCTTTTTTCCCAGTATAACTGTATTCAGAAAGTAGAAAGGATAATCACAATACAAAGATACTAAATAAAAGGCATTGGAATTAATAAATATCATAAAATCGTGTTATAAATGAAAAAAAAAAAAAAACTTGTTGAAGTGTAAGAAAAATGTCACTTAGTCATGGCTTGAGTGTCTTTGACAGCAGTAACTTCACTTAAGACAAGGGACAGGAATGAGATGTAACTACACCGTAGATTGTTCCTAGGCTTCCTACTAACCTTAAACTTTGTTTCCCTTATAAATTATATCTCAATTAATATGGATTACAGTTAGTTGCCTCTGGATGTTTTCTTTGAGAGACTGAACCCCTGCCATGTAAGCCACCTTTAGTAAGGTACTCTATTTACTTACAGATGGAAAAAAACAAACAAACCCCAAAAACCAAATGATATACATACAATAAAAGAGAAAATGGTTTTTCTTTATCTAGCCATTTAATCATAATAGCCATTTAATGCAAGCTTGTATCTGTGTACTTAACCATTGTAGCAAGCCCAGTGAAGTGCCGTATATCCATGATTGTCTGCTATGGCTGGATTTGCATCCATAGATGCTGCTGACTGCAAAAGGGCTCCAAGAACACCAATGTGTCCACAGGCAGCTGACAAGTGTATTGGTGTCCGGCCCCTGCTATCCCGAAGTAAGCACTTAGCACCATGTTGAAGTAATGCATCTACACATTCTTCATGGCCTGTAACTGCCTGAAAGAAAAATAATCTGCATGTAGTCAATTATGGTGGGTGCCTACAGGTCAACTGCAGATAACTGAAATCCTTATTTCCTATGTCCTCTCAAATTAAAGCTATGCCGAACTTCATTTTATCATTTTCGTAATTTTTAATGGGACGGCATTAAAAGGGAAAAGGAATGAGGCAATGGGAAAAAGTCAAATTGACATTAATTCTACTCAGTATTTTAAAGTTAACTATTTGTTCCAACATTATTGTTCCCTGGATTAATTTGTGCATTGTAATTATTCAAAATTTGGGTTCAAAATTAAAATTTACTAAAAAACAACAAAAACCCCAGTAAAGATTATGTGGTAAAAATTTAATGAAGAAAATGAAATACATCCTAGTTCAGTTCAGGGTAGTATGACATCATGAAAGCTTCTCTAAAGGAAATGGGGACACTTTTGCTTACCCCTCTATGTAATGCTGTCCTTCCCCATTTGTCTTTGGCATCTACATTTGCTCCTTTGTTCAACAGTGAGTAAACACAGTCCGTGTGCCCATTGAGAACAGACAGCATCAGAGGAGTCCTGAAGAAAAACAGGAATAGGTTCAGTGCTATTGCTTATGAACCTATTCTGTGAGTAAGTGTCATGACCTGTTTTCTAAATATGTCATTTTGTGATGCAAACTTGCAAGTATATTTAAATTAAGAAAAAACAAACAAACAAAAAAAACACATAAACTATATATTTTACTCAGTTATACTCTATGACAAACTTACTAACACAATGGAGGCAAAAATACAAAGATCAGCAAACATCCTAAGAATAATTTAAAAATTCTTAAAACTTACTGTCCATTTCCATCCTGAATATCTACTGCATTCTGTGGTTCTGCATTTCCTATTAATAGTCGCAAACATTCTGAATGACCATTTGTTGCTGTAAAGGGAAATATAAAATTTTTAGAAATGATAAGCTAGAAAATGTCCACCCTTAAGCACATTTTTTAGAATATAATTTTGGGAGAGTTTCCTTGAATTAAATATGGCAAGAAAGAAAAGTATCTATAGGTACATCAAAGAAGATTTCTACTGCTTTTGTTGACAAAGCTGGATACATATAAATTTCTCAGGTACAACATGGCAGCCACGTGGGCTGCCTATCAGCAGCCATTCCTCATCTTCTGCCTTGCTAATAAATGCTCACTGTATTTAGCTGTCTGGTGGTGACAATGTAGTCAAGAAGGATGGTCTGGTCCTAGCCCTAGGGATGAAATCATGATTTAGACCAAGCCAATCACAGAAACCTCATTCCTCTTTGCCAGCAACTGGTTTCAAGGTAAGCACATGATCCAGGTCTAACCACTGAAATGTAAGATGCCAGGAGAGCTTCTGGGGAGTATTTTTAGCCCTGACAGTGAAAGTTCCCTTTTTTTCTGCTTCTGGATGTGATCCTGCAAAGCAGCAGCAGCCAACTTGCAACCTGAATACAAAGACAAGAGTAACAGAGAATCTGATCCAAAGCTCTGACACCATTTCTCAATCAGCTAACCCTGGAACTGCATCCACCTCTGGATGTTTTCTTTGAGAGACTAAACCCTTGCCACATAAGCCACTTTTAGTCAGGTACTCTATTTACTTCTAGATGGAAAAACAAAAAAACAAAAAAACAAAAAAACAAAAAAACCAAACCCTAAAAACCAAATGACATACATACAATAAAAGAGAAAAAGGTTTATCTATATCTAAAGAATGCATTTATATATCCAAATGCATAAAACAATGGTACAGACAGAAGTGATCCAAAGAAAACAGTAAGCTTTAAGGTAAGCTAAATCCTCTGCAAAATTTAGGTCCTACCCATAATATAACAAAATTTGAAGTTTAAAGAAATATATAACCCACATGATGCTGTGTAAAAAAAAAAAAAAAAAAAGAAGTGTATCACTGTTTGCTAAATAAAAGATGAAAATATTAGTGAAAGCACACTAGGTACCTATACTCTACAATACTTTTCTAATAGCTATATTAAATTCTAATAGTTATTAATACTTGTGGCTCACCCCCTATCTATATGCTGCCCTTTGCCAGCAACTTTCACAGCTTAGTAACAACAATGTCATACTACTTGGGGATAGTTCAAGGAATTTGTATTTGGCTCATTATTTCTTTTATCTATTCACTTACACTCATTGCACAGTAACTACTGGTAAGTTTTTGTGTCTAAGTTTAAAATATCACTGTGGGAAGAAACTGGTTAACTGTCAGAAAGAATCTGTTATTTTTTCATGAATTAGGAGAAATAAGATGATACTTCACACAGACTTCCAAATTAGAAATGCACAAGGCTTATACTGACTGAATAGACATGTGCTAATAGTAACTTGTATTTCTTTTAGTGGGTAGTACTTATGGGGACTGTACGGTATTGGTTAACCATTTCTGAGGGACTGGCTAGTGTCTTGGTTTAATATTTATCTATTAAGAGTGCAAATACTCAAGTATTCCCTGCAGTCTTCTTTAAACCAAATAACAATTTAGAACAATTAGTAAATGCTGTCTGAGCATTTCATTCTTTTAAGAACTATCTATATTGGATCAAATTAACAATAGCAACTCGAAAGGTCAGATGGGAAACTTAGGGAGCAGTGAATTTATGTTAATGAGGGAAGAATAATTTGGAAAAGGAGGGTGAGAATGGTTGCACAACTTGAACAATGTAATCAATGTCACTGAATTGTACATGTAAATATGGTTGGTGTATGTTGTGCTGTGTACAATCATGGCAACAACAATAAGGACTGCAAATACACTAAGAAAGTCTTAAATTAGATCTGCAGATGATTTGTGGTTATAGTATCATTTTCTTAGTTTTAGAATGATATGGAACTTCACTTATTTCAGGATAAGATAATAGAAAAGGATGGTATTTTGGACTCTTATTCATAGCATATAGCAGTCTACATGTATACATTTAGCAATCTATTATTAAAAGATTTGTCTGTGAGCTCTTGATTATCTGATGTTTCTAAAAAGCTGCTCTGGTTTAACAGTGGGACTACAAACACAGTCCAAGACCTGAATTCAAATATGTTCTTAAGGATCACTCTATAAAAACAGACTAAGGTACATGCCTCTAACCATACAAAGATAGCTTCACCAGGATGAGAAAAATACTTGGTTCAGATTTCTTAGATTTTAGCCGTCTTGGTTATTTAAGACGAAAAATGCTTAGCATTCATTTCACTGCTTAGTAGTAATTCCTGTAGTGAGTATGCAGCTGCTAGTGATACACAGCTGGTTATCAAGTCATAGTAAGTTGGTTGTAGATCCTTCCATTTTTCACGTATTTGTACACCCAAAAAATCACCTCATGGAATAGATCTTGAATAATGTGGGTGCTCTTAAATCTTTAAATGTTTTATGCAGTACATTAATACAGTAAGTCATAATGTACTTCAACTGCTAAATGAAAGTACAAAGCAATCCAAAGTAACTTCTATTAGAAAGTATAAAACAGATTGCATTTTTTGTTGATAAAGTATTTTAGGAGAGCATTATATAAACCTAGTTTATTTATGATTTTTTTAAAAGTGATTGGAATTTTCAGTTGGCTTTTCCCTAAGAATATAATCATTCTACTCTTTCAAGTTAATAAAACTGTTAGGACAATTACCAGGAGTAATACATTCTAGAAATTTAAAAAGATAAGAAAACCAAGTAAAAAGTGATAAACAAATGATAACATTTGGCATACCTGCAGCATGTATAGGTGTTCTTTTTAAAACGTAATCTTTTACTAAGATTGAGGCTCCCTGATTAATAAGTACATCCACACATTCAACATGGCCCTTAAATGCTGCAAGATCCAAGGGTGTTCTTCCACTACTATTTCTCACATCAAGATCTAACAAAGACTGAACCAACACTTCCAGTGCTTGATGATGACCATGATAGGCCTAGGGGGAAAAAAAAAAAAAAGTAAATTTAAAAAAACGCATATCTAGAGTGACATCTCAAATATTTTAGAAAGTAAAAAGGAAGTAAGTATATTTGTCTTCACGTTATTATGGAGCTAATCCAAAATTTCTGTATTGGGAATTGAGAAAGTTAACTATAGATTTTTCTAATTGTCAACACAGTAGAGTATAGGGTTGGGAACTTTCTACTTCACAAATAATAAAAGTTCTGATGATAAGTGATCTTCTCATGAATATGCAAATGCCTGGTTCACCATAGATGTTCAACAGACCTGTTACAGGGATTAAATTATAGCTTTTAGTCTATGTCCAAAGCCAGTAACAGTGTTCAAGTCTTCTGACTTCTTAAAGAAACCATATTTACTCCATAAGATGGTATATCTCAAAAAAGTAAAACTTTTAGCACAGAAATACTCGGACTCAGTCTTGCTTAAGTATCTGGCACATACCAGGCATACTGCTAGCTATCCAAGACAGCAAGAACATTTGGAAATTTGTCAGACTGAAGGCTACTGCTTTCTAGTTTGATAAGGAGTTTTCCAGATGATTTGTTTCTTAAAAAGCAGTCTGTCAACTGAACATCTATTACTTGCAGGGCATAAAGCAATCACAAAACACCATCCTAGCGTGAAATGGAACATTCTATCTAGTTCATTCATACCACTACTTTGCAGCTAAGGGATTTTTACCAGTCATTTTCTGATACCATCCTGACTTATAGCTTACTAGGCTGGTAAATTATCACATGTGAACTTTCATTGTAAATTGAAAAACCTATAAAATTCTACTGTACTTGAGCTCTTTCTTGCTTCTAATCCCCAAAAAATGATACTTAGCTAGAAGAGAGCTCCATATTCCATCAAAGAGTTGTTAAGCCATTTCTTGTGGAAAATGTCAGAAAGTACCACCAAGTGGTGAAGTTGCTCTGGGCCTTACTGGTCTCTTTGAAGCTTCTGTGTAGGATGTATGCTTGTTCCTCTCCAAGTTTATAGTGACTGTAGATCTATGAACTGCACTGTCCTAGGATCACATCTTATCTTGTTCCTCAATATCAGATCAGTGAAATTATGCTATCAAAAGAATGAATTTTAAGAAACATGATGTGCACAGAAGACAGAAGATGTAAGACAATGACCATGACAAAGAAGACAGAGGAGAAAAAGAAGGATGGCAATGATTTGCCATAGGGTTCTTTCCCCTCATGATATCCTTACGAAGGATTGAAAGCAGGAACCTGCATGACCACTAAGTAGTATGAAGTCAGGTATCAAGACCAGGTTTCTTGACCCTAGACCAATGTGATTTCACTGCACCAAGCTGTCCTGAATGGGAGAGTTTGAAATGAAAATCAATTCAAGTAATTTCTGAAAAACTCTTAGGGATAGACACAAAATGCGAAAGTGATGGCATTATGACAGTTTACTAAACCTAACTGCTAAATCACAAAACTGTTTCCAATGTAGAGCACGGTGTTAAGTTGTTAAGTACAAAAAATGAAGCTTGCTAAATTGAGGGCAAGGGAGTGAGAAGGACACTATGTAAATTTTCTACAGAAACTATCATTCTTCCATGCCAAAAATTAATTTAGTAAGAGAGAGCCCCACAGATTGCAGGACCTTTAATTTGCTGATATTTATTGAATCTCCAAGAGGAGTAAATGAAAGCATTTCCAAACGATTATGGAATCCTATTTTACAGAACAAATTAAGGACGTAGTAGTGTTGGAAAGGCTCGGGAAAACAACAGAGCTCTGGAATGGGAGAGACTGAGCCCTGCCATTTAATGGCTGTCAGATTTTGCCTAAGTTATTCAACTTCTCTGAAGTTCCAATTCCTTATCTGTAAAATACTTACTCTCCTAGAGTTTTTGAGCTAATGTACTCAAAGACTTGGCAAAATACTTAGTCTGGCACCTAGTAAACGCTCAAGAAATGATAGTGCTACTATTATGATGGGAACAACGATGCTGATGCAAGAATTGCCTAGTCATCTGCTCAGATTTTATTTTTTAGAACCTATAGTAAAAAGACATTTCTTCTGGCTGGGAGAGATAAGATTTCCAAGGACTCAAAGGGCAAGGAAGCAAGAAGTTTCAGCATACTTTCTTTCTTAAGTTACTGAAAACATGATATAAAGTACCAGTGTGGAGGAGAAAATGGTAAAAAGACAGCAGAAAATTAAATGTAGTTGTGCCAAAGTGACAGAAGGTCTGTAAGGACAGCATAAAGTAAAATAGGACAGGTGATATCAAACAACTAAACAGATCATGGACCTTAAGTGCTCCACATAACTAAAGTATACTATTGTTGTGTTAGTTCCAACATGGCAACCCCATGTGTGCCGAACAGAACTGCTCCACTGGGTTTTCAAGGCTGTGACCTTTTGAAAGCACACTGTCAAGCCTCTCTACTCAGGTGCCTCTGGGTCAGTTCAAATCACCACCGTTTCAGCTACTAGTTGAGTGCTTAACTGTTTAAACCACTCAGGAACTCCTAAATTTAAGTATAAACCATACCCACTGCTGTTGAGCTGATTCCTACTCACAGCTAGCTACCCTACAGAGCAGAGTAGAACTGTCCCATAGGGGTTCCAATGTTGTAAATCTTTGTGGAAGCAGAACACCACATCTTTTTCCTGGAGAGTGGCTGGCGGATTCAAAGTGCCAATCTTTTGGTCCGTGGCTGAGCACTTTAACCACTGTACCACCAAGGTACCTAAACTTAAGTATACACCCATACAAATATTTTAATATACTTAAACCTGAGGTCTCACAAATAGCTAGTGAGAGTACCCATATCTCTTGATTCTCAATTTTTCCCCAACTATAACTTACTGTTTCAAAAATACACCCTTCCTTCAGTTCTGCTTGAAATTTCTGTAGGCAATTTATTCCTATATTTGATTTAAGAAACTGTCACTCTCTCTAACTTTCCTCTTCTTAGTGACTGACATTCTGATGGAGAATTCTGAGGAATCTTAAAATGAAAGGGACGTTACAGATTACGTAGTCAAATTCTATAATATGCACAAGCTAAGGATCAATGAGCATATACTTAGTGTCCTAAGATCACAGTAAGCAAAAAGTTGTAGAGATATCACAGAAATTGTACTCCTTATACCATCTGCTTAGCAAGTTAGAAGCTATTCTACTAAGACAATTCATTTAAAAAAAATTTTTTTTTAAATTGTAATTTGGGTCAAAGTTTACACAGCACATTGGTTTTCCATTCAACAATCCATGCACATTCTCTTTTGTGACATTTACTACAACCCCACACTGTAACAGTATTCTTCTCACCTCCTCCGAGTCCACTCCTTTTCTTGTCTTTCCTTCCAATCTTCTCCCGCCTTCCTAGCTCTCTGTGTAAATGCTGTCCTCTTAATTTCACATGCTTGATTGTTCTAATGAATGCATGCCCTCCTGATATTGCCGTTCACTTTACAGACCTACTGTTCAGCTGACAGTTGCATTATAGGGGTTAAGTTCAGTCCCTAGCTTGAAGGATGTCTAAGGGTCACAGTTTCAGGGGTTCTACCAGTCTTCATCAGACCAGTAAGCCCAGTCTTTTATGATTTTGTGTTTTGCAGGGCAGTTCATTTTTAAATTCATTGTCATAGGCAATTTCTCACAGTAGTCCCTGGGAATCACAGTTTAATAGGAAAAAGTTTTATAAACTTTAATTCCATGGTAATTATTACATAGTACAAAAGTTCAGGATACTAGGTTCAGTCAACATATGAGATACTGTCTGTAAACTAGGTATCAAATTGGCTATGAAGGCAGTACTCACAGCCAAGTGTAAAGGGCTTATTGTTGCTCTGTTGTCTGAATCATTCAGCATATCTGTCCCCGAGGTTTCCATTAACTGAAACAAAACAAAACAAAAAACCCGAGTGGTTTAAATGTCAGAAATTACTTTAAAATTAATTTTGTTGTTGTTGAGAATATACATAGCAAAACATAAACCAATTCAACAGTTTCTACACATACAATTCAGTGACAATGGCTACATTCTTTGAATTGTCCAATCATTCTTACCCTCCTTTTCTGAGTTGCTCTTCCCCCATTAACATAAATTCACTGCCCTCAAGAGACATGATACTTTTTAGGTATACACTACAGCACTTACTACCCTTCTCCAAGTCCAAATATGTTTTAGAGTATAAATTGATAAATGAGTATGTATGAAAAAATGCTAGAACATTATAAAAACTAACTGAGCAAGCTTTCAGAACAGGACCATCCTGATAGTGTACACAGACTAAAAGCTAGGCAGCTCTTTAATGCCACCAAGTAAGTAACCCTCCTGGCCCTTTATCCATGATTTCTGTCACTGCCTTTGCTCCCAAGGGTATATAACAATAACTTCAGCTCTAGTGAAAGCAAAGAAATAAAGTTTACTTTTCAAATTTCTAGGTAAAGGAGTTACTTTATAGATGGTGAATCTCAAAAATGCTGTCCTGGTCAGAAAAACAGGACTTAGAAAGAAATATTTACCACAAAAATGGAAGAGATCTTACAATACTGCTTTGTATATTCTTCAAATGCCAAATAAAATATTCTGAATGAGAGAGGAAAAAAAGACTTATACTTACAACGTCTAAAGGAGTTTCACTTGCAATCTGAAAGTTCAAAACAAAAATGTTTAGTTTAGAAAGCATATTTGGAAGAGACAATGTTAACTGCAGGTCTTTACTTATACAGGACTTTGTGAAATTCTATTGTGAACCTGTGCTTTCTTTGCCTGCAAAAAAAAAAAAAATCAAGTCCTTCAAGGAATTAATTGTGCAATTAAACAGACCACAAATCTGTACACATAGGACTAAGACTTCGGTCTGAAGATATAGTAACACCTAAGAAAAAAACTGTTATTTTTGTATCGGGGCTCTAAGTGCTATTGCTATATTAAATATCAATTTCCTCTTTCTAGCTTTTATACTCATTCTTCTTAAATTTTATTATATCTTGAAGGGAAGAAGAGTCTAATATAATTTATAAAGTCAGTCAAAGTAAGGGAAACTTTAACCTGAAGCATCCGTTACATACTTGCGTATCTTTTAATCTGCTCCTTATTTTCCTTCTGGTTTGGCAAAGCAGGGTGAATCTGTATATATTCAAGAATGAGACTACTGTTGAAATAAAAATTTCTTTTGCAAAAGTAGAGTCTCCCTTATCAGGACAGATTGTGAAATAAACGAGCCTTTCAGAATTCCTGAATACAGAGGTGGGGGGTGTGCAGAGAAGAAGGCATCCTTCCTTTCAGAGATACTTATTTCTCACATAAGACATGGTCACAGCTTTAAAGCATCTCTGGAAAAATATTTATTTAAGGAGGCAGGGGAAGTAAATGCTAGATAGAGACATGGGGTAATACAAAGGAAGGATGTAAGTAGCCCAATCTAGGGATCTAATTTCCTCCTTTCTTTTTGAAGGGAAAAGGAACAAGAGAGATCTTACTGAGGCAAGTAGGAATTCAAAAGTTCCCTTTACAATACTTTGCTTTTACAAAAGACCTACATTAGCACCCATTTTTGCTAACTGAAAGAAATCTGAACAGGATTTTCAATTTAATGAAAAAAGGCAAAAAGTAAAACTAGCAATCAGTGTTTGTTTTGCAGAGAGTCATTAAAGAAGCAGCACGCACCTCCAAGCAACAAGAGTAGCATTGTCAAGTTCCTTTGTCGGGAACTATACTCAGCATCTTGACATCCTGCTGCCATAGTTTTGAACCGTGTCTATGAACACTATATTTTAGTACTATTAGGCCTCACACGTTGTTTGGTATGATTTGGTAGGTTATTTTTTGGGTCTAGGAAGGCTCATAAAGTTTTCCCATATAAAATGATGCACTTGCTTTTTTGTTTTATGCCATTTTGGCTTACGAAAAATTTCATAGGAATGCTTTACTTGTGCAAGCGGGGGAAACCTGTATAAGGATTTTTTTTTTAAATGCTAAAAAGCTAAACAGAATGCTCTTAATCCATTTATTCTCATTTCTTTCCATTACTATAATATAAATACATGTAAGTCCCTACATAAGAATTCGAGATTCCTTACCAGCTGAAGACATAGGCGGTGACCATAAGCAGCAGAATAATGAACTGCGTTGTATCCTTGCTTGTCCCGAATCCCTGGATTTGCATCATTTCTTAGTAAGTATTCCAGGCACCTATATACAGTAACATTTTCAAAGTCCTAAATGTTGCATTTTAACCAATGATAAAACAGACAAATTAACAACTGACAATTTTTTTTTACACTCAAGTGATATTAAAACAAAACAAAACAAGACAAAAAAAAAAAACAAAACAGCCAAACAAACTAAACTCACTGTGAGTTGATTCCAACTCATAGTGACCCCCTCTGGGTTTCTGAGGTAGTAAATCTTCATGAAAGTAGATTACCCAGTCTTCTTTCCATGGACTGGTTGGTGGGTTTGAACTGCCAACCCTCTGGTTAGCAGTCAAATACCTTAGGCACTATGCCACCAGAGCTCCTTTCAAGTGATATAAAAATCATAAATATATCTGTACTATATATATCGGTCTTTTACTTGATAATGACTATAAAACCAAATAAACATCACAAAAATACAAACAAAATTTTCGTAAGGAAAAATTTCTTTTTTCAAAGTGGATACCTCCAAAGACTGTCAGCAGGCATAGTACACCTGATGGCTTCTTTTTCTACATAGTCACTGTTTATGGCAACTCCACTCAAACAATGTCAGTAAGAATAAACTCTTAGCTGTTGTGAGCATTCAGTGTTGGCAATATTACTGCTTACTTATACAGAACCCATGTTGTTGTTGTTATTTGCCGTCGAGTCGGCCCCGACTCATAGCGACCCCTCCTTGGGTTTGAACCGCCAGCCTTCTGGTTAGCAGTCAAGTGCCTTAGGCACTATGTTACCAGAGCTCCTACAGAACACATAGTGAGTATAAATTCTTACCAGGAAGCTTAAGAAATGGTATTAAAATATCAAACAAAGTCAATGATTTGACAAGTGTGTAAACAAAGTACAAGTGACATACAGGTATTAAGAAAAACCTTCTCATAGGAGACTTAATTTTATTCTTATGTTATTAAAATGCAAGAAAAATAATTTTAAAATGTTCACAATTTGTTACAACGTTATTGGATTTTGTTACTGTAGCACTCCCCCCGCCTCTGCTCCCCAAGTACTGGATTAGAAATTAAAAGATTTGCCTCTAGATCTAGTTTGGTATCAGTGACACTGGGCAAATCATTTCACCTTTATGGAAAATGGCCTTTGTCTATTAATTTGATAGATAGAAGTGGGGATGCCAACTAAATAAAGTCTATTCATGTTGGAAGTCTGACTCTGTAATTATTAATTGAGATGTGATCTAATACTCTTATACATCTAATCAAATATTAATTCAATGAAGGGAAAAAACTCTACAACCAAATATTGTTAAAAATTTAAGTTTCTAAAAGCACAATGAAATTACATAAAAAAAGGAACTTTAAAGCAATGTAACTATCTGTTAATTACTTTATTACACACACAAACAGATATAAATGCCATGCCCTTCACTGCTAATTCTTTCCTGATGCTGAATTACTTAAAACCTTTTAGAACTCTTTTATGAATTACTTCCAGAATCAATTTATTATAATATCCATAATGGTAGACTCGATGGCAATGAGTTTTTTTTTCATGGTAGCCTATGTTCATCCTTTTAGGTGGAACTTGAACATTTATGTACAGCTAAAAGTATACTTTGAATTAGTTGAAAAAGAAAGGGGAAGGCCCTCAACAAGATGAATTGATACAGTGGCTGCAATGTTGGGCTCAGGTATAAAAGGGATCGTGAGGATGGCACAGGTCAGGCAGTGTTTCGCTCTGTTGTACATAAGGTCACTATGAGTCGGAAACAACTTGACAGCACCTAACAACAACAACAAAAGCTATACTTTCAAATAGTTAATTGGTTGCCGCAGAAGTCGACTCAGACTGGTGAATAAGGAAGACTTTAAACTAGGTATCACTGTTTGTGATCAAACAACAAATCTGACTGTACAGTTTAACAGGTCTGGTATGTTTTGGTGTTCCATAAACTAGCTCTGAGGGTATTTCCAGAACAGGATGTGTTTCAGGCAGTGTGCAAGCTGTTTGTATACAACCTTCCTAGGTCCAATTCAGAGGACAATGCTCACTGGGATGCAGAAAAGACCTGCAATAAAACTACCAAATGCTTTGGAATAAATCTAAGGATTTTAAGACATCCATATAAAAAATTATGATCCTATTTGCATGAAAAATGCAAACAATCATCATAAAAGTCTATTTTGGTGAGATAATATCTGTACATTCATAAACATATTTATATGCTGCGGTGTAGTACATTACATACTGTGGCTTTTCTAGCCATAAGTCTTGGAACTTGCCCTGAGCAACTGAGTTGCTCCTGATTGTTAAAGTTATCCACCTGGGGTATTTCATTTTTTTTTTTTTTAAATTGTGATTTGGGTGATGATTTACAGAGCAAATTTCACTTTTCATACAGCAGTTCACATATATTTTGTCTCATGTCATTGACCACAGTTTACCACAATGCAACACTTCCTCCCCATAGTTATCTCTTCCCAGTGTCCATCCCTCCATACACTCTTGCCCCCTGAGCTGTCTCCCTGTGCATAAGCAGCCCTTCTTTCTCCCATGATTGTTCTCTCCAAGGAGTGTATCTACTCGAGGTAAATGTTCAACTCATA